TTTTTTTTTTTGTCTAAATAAATGATTCTTAAATCCATCAGGCATATATCACAAGGTTATTATTATTAAAACTAAATGCCTTAAGGTAGAGTTTTACTATACTTCACTAAAGAAAATATGTCTCTCGTTATATATTTAATCCTTATGTCTGCCTGAAAGTCAAAGTAATGTTTATAAAATATAGACTGATGTTATTGTTTTTCTTCAAAACTTTGCCATTTGTTACTAGCTCATTATCAGATATTGTCTCTCCTTCAAATCAAGGTCTTCCTATTTCCTATTATTAACTTTCGTATATAATACAGAAGAACTCTTTTTATTTTTTATTTTTTTTCTAACAACAAAAATATAAGAAGAAGTAAGCAAAAGCTACATACTTTTTAGATTTGTTTCCATAGAGAGAGAGAGAGAGAGAAAAGTCACATTCATTTGTACATAATGAATCATATATGTTCTTCGAGTTTCATTTTTGTTGAATAGCATGACAATAATTATATTACGCATAGATTTATTATTCATTATCAATTTTGCTTGTTAGTTTCTTCCTTTAACTCATTACTATTATCTCAAGGATTTCTTTGTCAAGTTTTATATATATATATATATATATATATATATATGTATATATGTATATATATATATGTTATGTTTCTTTTTTTATTAATGAGATGAGTTGATGTTGTAATTATTATTAGAGATTTACGTCATTCATTGAACAATATGTAATGATTTCTTGTTGACGTCACTATCTAGTACGACTACGATTAACAGAGAAAAATGAAAGACCTTGTTCGCTCGTCCTGGCATGCGTTACTATATATAAATATGTAAGCAAATGCTTTGATTTCTTTCTCTTGATGGGCTTACGTGTGACGTCGATTGTCCGTCGCGCGGTCGATGATGACGTCGTCGAGTAAAGAGAATGAGCGCATCAAAGAAAAGACGACATATAGATTATATACATGCACGCTTAAGCTTGTATTCGTGTGCTAAAGCAAGAGATAGTTTTTTAGCCAATGATCATCATTGGAAGAAAAGAACAGAATTGTGACGTCAAACTGATGCATTTGTTTTCCTTTCTAATGTAATCGCATCTTCATTTGAGACAAAGTGCGTACGCAAGATACAAGCACATTTCTTTTTTCTTTCTCTCTATCTCTAAGTTAGATTTACTTTATTCGTTTATTTTCCTTCTTTTTCTTTTTAATAGGGTGTTCAAATAGATCACGATAGTATCATACAAACTACTCATTTATCAATAACTAATTCATCGAATATAGTGCCTTCTTTACTATTATCATCATCATCATCATCATCATTATTATTATCAACGTCAAAAACAATCAGCACAACGACGGCGCCGAATCCCCATTCCGCAACTACTTTTAGTAGCAATAGTACGATGGTCACATCATCGACTCTTATTCCTCCATCTGTGGATAATAAAACATCATCATTATTACCTCGTAAAACATCAAATGCATCAAGTTCAGGTAATTTTTCTGAAATGTCTCGTTCATTTGGTCATGAAGAAAATTCTGGAGATTCCTTATATGGTTTAACATCAGGATCATCATCATCATCACATTATATTATTAAATGTACTTTAAATACAACAACAACAACACCAACAATAACTAATACAAATACATCGTTGATGTCAACTACGTTACCAACATCAGCATCACAACCACCACCACCACCACCACCATCGCCGGTGATATTAACACCACGTGTTAAAGTAACTGTTCAACAACCATCAGTAGCAGCATCATCATCACGTATTGATTCATCACCTGAACCAATTCCATCATCATTATTTCTTAAAACTC